AGTTCAAATATTTTTCTAGTTCAATCTACTTTAAACATAATGAAAAGAAGAGAGCAAAAGTAGGTGATTTGCCTGTGTGTCTCATTTCAGTTAATGGCAAAGCCACCATTAGACCAGTTCTTAGTTCTCAACTCCAACTATATTGCCATGAAAGATGAGTTATAAGGAAAATTAATTTCCTTCTACTAGTTATTAAGTTTATGGATTTAATAGCTTGGACAAGGATTTAGCAAACCCCTTATTTTCATGATTAATACAACCCCTAGAAAGATAATATATACAACTGTTTCAGCAAACACTAACAAAACTTTTACATTTGGGCCAGTGATAATGTTGTCTGTTTTACATTCAATACGCCAATAGTCAGAAATTGATTAATTTTTATGAAACACTTGGTTGGGAGCAGGGTGCAGATGATAATTTCCAAAGAACAGACTGGGCACAGTTTGGGAACCAACTTGATTACAGAGGCAATAAGGCTATCCAAATATTTGTTCCTTGTCCCATCTGTCTCCCTAAGGCAGCACATTGCAAATGAGAGGGAGAAGGCCAAGTTCACACACCCAGTGTGGCATTTTTTAAATTTAGTTATAACTCTCGCTGTCACACTGATGTTATAACATATTACCACTAATCTGATAAAATTATAACGCCCTAGAATGAATGCTGTTTTAATTGCATAATGTTGTGGATGCTTTATATGTGTCTGAATTAAACCTCATAACAACTATATAAAGGAGCAGGTGCCACAGATCACATGAATAGCCTAAATTCTTCATCTCGCCATGCATCCATGTCCTTGTGCCATGTGACTTTGCAGTTCTCACTAATGAGGTTGTCTATTTCCTAGCACTTTAATCCTGCAGTCACAAATATGCCTTCCTTTGGCCAATAGAATCTTAGTGGGTGTGATAAATGCAGAGTCTTCAGAAGGTGCTTAGACGGTTCCTTTTCCTTTCTTACTCTGCCATGGTCATAACACGTGGCGGCTAGCCTACTGGAGCCAGAGTTGGCAAAGTTTTTCTGTAAAAGACCAAATAGCACATCTTTTTGTTTTTGTGAGCCATGTGGTCTCTACCGCAACTATTCAACTACTCAGCTCTACCATCGTGACACAGAAATAACCATATAAGATATGAAAATGAATGAACACAAGTGTGTTCCAATAAAATCTTATTCATAAAAACAGCCCATGGGCAGGATTTGATTGATGAGCCATGGTTTTCTGACCCTTGGGCTACAGAATGAGACACATAGAGTTAAGTTGCCACAGTAATACTAATTGAGGTCCTTCGGAATCAGCCAAGCTCCAGTCAATTCCCAGCTATGAGTCAGCCAGATACCTCCAGGAGCACTGCCTGGACAACCTGTAGCTTCTAGCAGACACGTGAGCAAACCCAGCCAACGTTAGCTCAACTTTGCAGAATCTTTTGCAAAGCCATTGAGTCATGGGTGATTGCTACATAGAGTAATTATGGCAAACGGTTATTAATACACTTGTTAAAGTATTAATTTTGTCATTTTAGAACAAAAGATGGGGCTTAAGGAGGTTAAATACCTTGGCCATTCTCTCAGGCACAGAAAGTGTCAGAGCCAAGACTTTTGATTGTTCTACTATCCAAAACTGTTTCAGCCCTTTACTTTAGGTGGTTTTGCTTATACAGAGGTATAGGTATAGATAATTTAGGTTAATAGATTAAGAATTTTAGGCAGCTATCTCTCACTCTCCACTGATTCCCCTCTTAGCTTTTAGCTATTAAGAGTTATGTCACCTTGGCTTAAAGTTTGGGGTATTTTCTTTAAATTGCTACCGCAGACCCCCTTGTGATGTATCATAGTCTATATTGTCCTGGTTCATATTTTCCAAAACTTCAGTAAAAGGAAATAACTTAAATGGCCCACTCTTGCACACAGCTCCTCTCTCTCCATTTCACTGCTCCCATTTTATGCAGGGCTGTCAGGGATTTCTGAATTAAATGTGACTTAGGGCCTGCGCTTGCTGACTGAGGAGGCTCATAGGTCCTATAGCTCATCCACAATCTTGTACTTGAGCTGTCAAGCGTGAGAGATTGGTGCCAAATTCAACCCAACATAGCCCCTTCCCAGTAGTCTGCCTTCAACAACTCCTCCTTGTCAAACCCAACAGTTTACATAGGATATATAGTGAATAAAATGCCCTGAAAGATACGAATGTAGAGGTGCTTCCTCTGCTGATAGCAGGAACACCTATCAGCTTCCCACAGGGCTGACAATTCAGGCTGGCAGCGGAGAGATGATCATAGGATTTTTGTGCTGCTGTTTCTAAATGGATTGTAGAGACTCCCAAGGCAAATTGCCTCACTCCTCACCATCTGCCTCCAAGAAGAGGGGGTGTGGTGCAACTGACTATGCAATTTAAAAAACTTTTTTTTTTTTTTTTGGTATTTATAAAGTAGAATCCTCAGGTGAATGGTTTATAGAATCCATGCAGGATTCCCTAGGCTTGCGTTGCTCTCTGCCTTAAAGTTTAATGTTTAAAACACCAGAAACTTAATGCCTTTTTA